CCCCAAAACCCCAAAACCCCAAAACCCCAAATTATATCCAAGGTTTATAATATTTAAAATATTCCAATATGCAATCATTGGTCCTCCTTCTGGTCCTTTTCTGGGCGAGTTTTCACCTAGCTAATCCTAAGGTAAGCAAGTGGGGGTTTAGAGGCAAGGGAGAGAGAATTGGAGGTCGAATTTGGGGAGAGATTGGATTTTGGGAGTATAGTTGTTTTTATAGACAGAAAATTCAGAAACAGAAGAAAGAAATTATCAAATTACTAACCCTTCAGCAAAAATCTTTACAAGTGATGTAGAAGATCAGGCATCAAAATAGAGATTTGGACCAAGAATATCCAAAACCAAGAGTAAAGTTTAAAGGTAGGACTGTTAAATTTCTTCTAATCCATAAAGCTTCACTTAACTTTGATTTCTTCGGTTTATCTTTCTTTTCTGCTAAATTTTTGTATGAATTATTCAAAATTATGTGTAAAAATCGAAATTTGTAATGAACTCTGGATTCAGAACCTAATAAAAATTTTGAGAATAACAGAAACTCTTATGGTTCTCCTTCACAGGATAAGCTGATTAATATATAGAATTGAATGACTTACCACTTGATAAGATAATTCCAGACCTGAGCTTGACTAGATCGCTTGCTATCTCAAGTTTTGGCTCCGGCTTTCAGAATGAGAGGTAATCCTTTAAAAGATATCATATTGTTAAGGTCTTATCTTCATTAAATTTTGATATTGAAATTGTTGTAGAAGAAAACTCTCAGTAATACAGGAGAATTTGAATGATGGCATCTCACTTCAGGCGTTGGTGACAGAAACAGGAGGTTTAAAGTACTCTACAAATGAAATGCCGGCCCTCATGGCAGTTTCTCATAGCAAGTATATTGTCCAAAATGTTCCCTTCTCTCTACAGCTCATTATATCAAAATCCTTGCTGATTGAAGATACAGTTTTAGCTGAATTCAGTAGTTCTAAGTCATCTTTCAAGATCTCATCAGTTTGCTCGTTGGACCAGCACTCTTATTACAACCAACACTATAATTGTGAATTTGAAGAAATTTCAACACTTGAAGAATTAACACTATCGTATACTGTTATTGAGAAAACAAGCATGAGGAAAGTATCTGCTGAGGTCCTGACCTCCTGGAAGATACATGCCATAGAGATGCCATTCCTAACAGAAGCTAGTCCTAGATACCTCGAAGTTGACAGTAAGCCTCCCTCCATAACTTGTAGCTACTAACGAGGACTCTTATACTCAGACGATCCGAATCTTTGGTGAAAATTTAAGAACTGATTTTTCACAAGTCTTGTTTGGAGAGAAAGCCCAAAGATCATTTATAGCTGCAGATGATGGATCCTACATCGATATAGATGCTCCAATAATCTCTTTCTATGAAACTACAGATCAATTAATCGCCGAAGTTAAGCTTCAGATTAATGATGGAGAGGATCTCTTCACGAATTCAATCACTGTTGTGTATTTTAGACTCGAGATCCAAGAAATAAGAGTAAAATGTAACTGCAAGATTCCCCAAAGTAGTAGTTTCCCTCTGGAATGAATCAATGGAAATGATATCGTGTTTAGCAATACAGCTAACTTGATTAGGTACCAAAAGCCTATACTTGTGGAGAGCCTTACAGGATCTATCAGGTAAGTATTTCTCTTATTTTTAGCCCCATCAAACTTGTTGAAAGACTTAATATTCAGACAAATATGGACTTAGAGTTTGAAACAGGCATCTTGAATAATGTTGAAAGTGGTACAGTTACATTACAGAAGCATTTTCAAGGAAAATCCTATTATTCTGGTCAACTGGAGATTCTACAGTCTCCAATACTTTTGAGATTCGATAATGACCTGCTACATGAAAGATCTACCTCTTGCTTGACTATTAGGATTATTCTTAATAATACTCCACAAAGACAGAATTCTCTTTTCTATGTAATTGTTGATAATGACTTTTCTATTATGAGAAGCGGATTTACTGAAACTATAGAGACTAATGTAGAAGAGATATGCCTATTAAATCCATTACCTCTTGGGAGCTATAAAATGCATCTGACTAGAGACAACTGAACTCTTTCTGAACCTTTAAGCTTCAACATAATTGAAATACCAACTGTGTCTAAAGTTACCCCATGTGCTCTAGATTCTGTGACAGGGGGAAATTTATTTATAAAGGGCTTCAATTTTACTAAAATTACTCAAGTAAAATTAGGTGAATACGTAGTCCCATCAGAAAATACAGAAATTAATGGGCTTCTTACAATGATAACATTATCGTTTGGCTCAATCCCTGACTGGAGTTTGTTCAACATAAATTCTGAGATATATTTGTCAAATAACCAAGGTATTGATTGGATGGAGTCTGGTGTATTTATACAATTTATCAGTATGAATACCTCATCAACTCTTTACTCAAATCTGCATTCCTCCTTTACTGACCTGTTGGATCCCTTTACAGTGCTCTCATCAGACTCAGAGTCTCGGACTAGTGAATGCTCAGATAACTTAAAGGCAATTCCTACAGTGATATCCCATGAAGAGTACTACAAGCTCTTTATCAGAGTTGATAAGCTACTCAAAGCTGAAGAAACCAGGATAGAGATATCTTCATTCGCATTTGACTGTATCATAGAGTCATATTGTATGGTAAACATCAGCCAGGAAAGGTACTTCTTCCACTATATCAACGATACTATCGGATATTGCCAGATTGGTGACTTAGTAAAAGCATACTCTGACTACCAATCCCCACTAGAAATATCTTTATATGCTAGGTTTTACACTTTTGAAGAGGACCAGGTCCTTCCAATCCAGCAAGATAGTGAGCAGCACCAAGCACTTGCTTATGTTTTTAAAGGACTGAGCTTTCTGAAATTAGACTATGAAGATAGCTTTGCATCTTTACTTGAAACTAGAAGAAAAGTTGATATCAAGATTAGCCCCATTTTCATACCTGAGTACTATCGAACCAGGATAAAGTGCTTTCTAAATGAGATCGATGATTTTGAAAATACTAGTAAACAACAGTACACAGGCACTTCTGAATTAGGAACTAGTGCCGATGGAAAATATGAAGATATTTCATGAGAATTCAACATCAGATCTGGAGATATTCGAAGATACTATGTTACACTCCAAATTGATGATATTTCTATAGAGTATCAAGACCAAGAAATCTTTACTGCAGGACTTCCTAAAATCACTGAAGTTAGCTCTGAGACATTTGAGTATGACTACTATCAGATTGGCAGAACCACGGAGGATGTCACCTTCAGAGTTATCTACGAAGGCTTTATAGATTTTACTTGAAACTTTGAAATATTCACGGAAACTGAGGTTAAAATTATATCGACAATCCAAGCAACCTACGTTAGCAAGGTAGATGGGAATTTACTCACCTCTGATTTGATCAATGGGATCTCTATTCTGGAGTATAAGTGACAAATAGGATGGGAACAGATATTGCAGAATTCAGAAAACCAGATTTACCTCTCAATTTCTTCATTAGCTTCAACCCCTGCTAAATATTTGTATGATACTTATACTGGAAGGTTTACTGAGCTGATTAAGGCAATCAAATATTTACCCTCCAGTTCTATAAAAGAATATCAAGTTTATTTTGAAGAGAAAAGTACCGGTGTACAAATAGAAGTAATTTTTGATTCAGCCGAGAATCCAACTATTACTCAAGATTGGATCTGAAAGATACAAAATGGATTGGAAAGTATTGAGTCTAGTGTTTCGATAGAGAATAATCCAAAATGTGAGTTCTTAGTAGCAAGAGCAACAAAAACATATGATCTAACTTTGTACAATTCCCAGAAGAAAATAGCATTGTTCAAATCACTTTCAAACAATGATAGGCTATCCTTTTTAAAATTGACTCTTGAAATGAACCTTCTCTTGAAGTATAACACTTACACTCCAGTTGAGTCTATTCTAATATATTCCAGCTCTTCTTCTCCAGAGGTTGAATTCACTCCAATGCAGTCTGCAACAGTTGCATGCTTATACAGGGATCTTAATTACAGGTCATCTTACATTTCAAGTTGTGAAGTGCCTCCGATTGGTATGACATTATTTAAAGATGAGAAATCAGCAGCTATCAACATTCAGCTTGAAATTACAACTTCAAATGTAACCTATCTGACTACTCCTTCTTCTCTAACACTGTACCAGATCCCACTGTTTCAGGACTGGGCAGTGACAGGTTCTACCATAAACTGGATATTCCAATTCGAGTATACTCAAGAAGAAGCAAGAAAGCTGTTTAAATGCAAATTCAGTGTTGAAGCCCCTGCTACTACTATGTCTTCTCAGGATTCAGAATCCTTTAGCACATCTACAATGACTCTTCCTTCGGGCATTTTTGTTCTACCCACTACCCAGTCGGAACATCTTCAACTAGAAGTTGAAGGTTCCTCAACTGGTGAAGTAGTAACTGAAGTCAATAAGAGCGATACAGGAATTATTTGTGATGTCACTGGACTTGGAGAAGGATACTTCCGTTCTTTCAGGTCCTATTCTCTATCAAGTCCTTCCTTGGTGTACACAATCGGAGAAGAAGCCATTGCCAACATAGAGTGGCCTGAAGAAATCACCGAACAGGAAGAAGCTGCAGTTGACGAAGATATCAGAGCTAAGGAATTAGAAGTCAAAGGAGCTTTCCAAGAATGGGATTGTTCCTATTATGGGATTGAAGGGACTGAGGAGACTTTTGGAACGTTGTTTAGTAGTGAGAGGTTGGAGAGAATGGAATGAAGGAGTTTTAAGAAGTATTGGGACTCTACTGTGGTTGTTGGCATTGATGTTGATTATGACTATTTTCATGAAGTCTTGATACAGAGGAGTGTTAATTCAGTATATAATCGCCCTTTGTTGTCCTTTATGCCAAGTACTTTGATTTACCCTTCTGAAAGTACTCAAACTTTTGAAATAACCTCTTCTGATTCATTTGGAATTCTATCAAGTCTTAATACTACTTACTCTGTAAATCTTAATGGAGTATCTTCAAATTGTTCATACTCTGCTCCTTCCATAACCTGCAATATTGAACCTAACTCTACCATCTTCTCTCTATCACCTACCCCATCAATCTCTGTTGCAATAACCCCTCATGATCCTTTATTCACTCTGTACACTTCTTTGATCCCTCTTGAATCACCTGAAACTACCACTATCTCTCAATCTTCTGAAGAATTCTCCACTGAAGCTGTTTTGACCAACACAACTGGACTCTTCTATAACGCCTTTGAAACTCCTGCATATGAAGTAAGAGCTGAGACAGCTCAAGGGCTGTCTGACTCAGAAGTGCTCCTAGCTCTAAGAACTAGCCAACAATATGACCATTGACTTGAGCAAAGCTGCAACTGTAGATTTGTACTAGACCAAGAGTATATTACTCAAGCTAGGGTAGAAAAGCAACTGGTGTCAGCAAGAGGTGATGTTTATGACTACTATGCATATTGTACGCTTCCTGAAGAGATCAAGTTTTGGAAAACAAGAATAGGCCAGATTGAAGAGATTGAACTAAGAGATTCTAAGCAGAGAATTCTTCTTAAATATATTAACCAGAAGAAAGTTTATGCACCAGTCCTACAGCTAAGTGAAGAACAAGTAGTGTTAAGCAAAGGTTTGAGAGAAGAATTTGGTGGAATTAGGATTATAAATGGAGACCTAGATCAGACTAATTCAAAGTGTATTTTTAGAAACAGAGATACCAACAATGGAACTATGCAAACTATTCCTATATTTTCTACTGGATTTATGAGCTGTCCTTTTGATTTTACTCTTCTAAGCCACGAAATTCAGTATTTTGATGTCTTTTTGAGATATGAGACTAGAGTATTGAATGAGGTTTGGGATATCCAAATAACCAGAAACTCTTTAAATAATGAAATAACATACAGTAATATCGAATCTACTTTTGAAAATGAAGGAGTGGTAATAATTAACTCAGCTTTCCAGATATACTTTGACAATACTGAAAGAGTAAAATACTCTGAAGACACAATTATCAGTATAAATCTTCACTCCAGCCTTACGAATGTCACTCAAAATTTGATTCTCTCTAAAATCATATTTGAAAGAAACTTTGTTACAAATATTGCATCAGCAATTTCAACAACAGAAGGAAAATCCGATACATCAAATCTTGAAGTATTGAGCGATAGAGACACAGCCAAAGGGCTATCTATCACTGCTGCTCTACATCCATCAAGAAGTATATTTAAGAACTCAACAGGTATTCAACTGTGCTTCATGCTTTCTACAAACGGAATTTTAGTCTGATCTTTGAATCAATTTTACATCTTACAGCCACTTGAATGTAGTATTTCTCCAGTAAAGGCAGCTATATCTAAAGATCCAAGCCTGATCACCTTAAATTGTTCTCTCAGACAAATATTTGAAATCAATGAGCAATCTCCTGATATCAGACTTGCTATTTCAGCCTCTGTTCCTGATGAAGTCCTGATAGATGAAGTAGTTTCCCCTATATTGCAAGAGAAACAGCAGATTAGCTTTAACATTTCATCTAAGATAGTTGATAGCTCTCAAGATGAAATCACAATGAACTTGAAAGTTCTTGCACTTGAATGCCCAAACTGTAAAAGCTCATTATTAGACTGCAATAAAATTCAGCAGTGAAGTCAGAATGATCAATCTAGCCGACAAAAGATCTTTTGGTCATGTGATAATACTGGATCTAACTGAGATAATGATTCTACTGATTTGAACACTCTCGAGTACCATTCTAGTCAGGGTAGCTTGCAATATACTAAGATCAGAGAGGACATTATTCTCCAAACCCAAGCGAGATTAGAGACTTTACAATTATTTAACATCAAGACTATAGAAACTCTGTACACTAATTCTCAGACTAATCTGACAGATAATTTGGAAATTACTTCAGCGCAAGAAATTCAGGATAATATCAGAGGGTCATTGAAATGCTTACAAACTCTTTCTTCAGGTAAAACCTTCTCATCGACTCCTGTATTTACCTCTTCGATGAGTCTATACTGCTCTGTAATGGTTCTAAGCCGAAATGAGAAATCCCAGGTCACATTGTTATATTTGCTCGAAGGATCTGAAGAAGTGGTCTCCAATAATATTACATTACAGACATTTGCTTTTGATATCAGCAAGTATTATCCCTTACTCTCTTTCAAGAATGGTGGAGGAAAGTTTACAATCGAGATAGAACCAGGAATACTAAACTTTGATTGCTCTTCCAGCTCAAAGGCAGAAGGAGTTGAGAGACTTAAGACTCTTGGCTGCCAGTTTGGGCTATCAACTATTTTGCCAGCTACTTTTGTGTCTAATACAAAACTGACTTGCCAGATACCTCCTTGGTCACAGAATAAGAATATTGTAGTGAATCTAATAAGCTTCGACTCTACCCAGAGAATTCTTGGAGATTCACTTTCTCTAAGATATTGTGACTACCAAACTTGAGCGGAAGAATATAAATGAAGATATAGTCTATATCAAGATGGAGTCCAAATTTATCAAACTATTGTGGAAGAAGGCCTTAGCACAACTTCCACAAGAGCAAATACAACTTCTTACTGCACTGGAGAGTCATTAAAATATTCAGGGAGGTATAAAATTGAAGTCTCTGTTGATGATGGAGATACTTGGATTGAGACCAGCTCAGATTTAGTCACTATACAATCAAATTACTCTGAATTTAGCATTATCCAATCAAGCAAAAGCTATGTTTACCTCCCTGGAAGAAACACTATCAAATTGATTTCTAATTATAAAGCAGACAGTGGAGATATCTTCGTTGAAGTTCAAACAAGTGTCAATCAAATCTATAACATTGCGCCTACAAGTGCTACTTCTCTTGATATTAGCTTTATTATTGACTCTACAGAGATTGAAGAATATCCAAGTTTCTTGAGATATCGTCTTGGTATAACTTCCAAAGGCCTTTACACTAGCTGGACTGGTTTAGAAATCAGAATAAATGCAGTACTTCTGAATGTGTTGCCAAGAATCAGCTGGGGAATCGATAGCTTACAGAATATTAGTTCTATTCATAATATCCAGAAATATTTACCAATGATGTTTGAGATTCAAGCTACTCAATACTTATCAGGAATCGATGATGTTTATTGAACATTTGATTCTCCTCAAATCAGAGATGGGCAAGGAATCTTCTGGATAATAAAAGCAGTGGAGGAGAGCAATAAACTTCTTTGAAAAATTACTGAAGTAAGTGATTTAATCACAAAATTCCTTGATGAAGAGATTTCTCTGACTGTGACAAAACATCTTGATGTTTACAATCCTGAAAGTGGCATGTTGATAACTATTAGGCCTATTCCTCAAATCACTACAATAAGTATTGACTCAATTGAGATGATGAATACTTCTCTATCAGATATCGATCATTTAAATCTGACTGTTACTGGTATCAACTTCAGAATAGATACTTTACGGAATTCCTATCTAGATTTTATTGACTCAGAAGGCAGATTGATTCAATTTGATACTGATTTTGCAATTTTTGATCATACAGATACTCTGAAGATGGTAATCCCTCAGCCCTTAACTATTGAAAACTTATTGCTGCCAAATCGACTTATTCTTCATTCAGGTATTTCAGGTACTGAGTTCACTTCTATTGAAAATCCTCCAGATGAAGAAGCTAGCATCATAGTCGACCATTCTGTGATAACTCTTGACTCGACAGGAGATGCTAGTATCAGCCCTAGTATTATAAATATAACATTCCAAGATCCTATTCCATATACAGAAGATATTAAAGCTTACTTGTTGCATTATTTAAGTGGGGAATACTCACTTACTATCATTTCGTACAATAGGCTTGAGTCTGATAATTCCCTTCTTGCTTCTATAACGGTCAATCTTCCAATTATCTCCACTCCTAAAAAGCTCGAAGTTTACATTGAGCCTATACTTGAGCACAGAATTGTATTTGAGAAATCAGAGTTCGAGTATAAGATGAATACCCTAATTGAGGTAGAATTCCCTGTGAATAATACTGTCATTCCACCGGTAATGATCCCTTCACCTAAAATTTACAATGTTACACCTGATGATACTGATGATGAGATTACTAGATTTATGATATCAGGTGAGGATCTTGACAGTAGTATTGAGTGTACATACTCTTCACCTGTAAAAACTGTACCAATTGTATTTATAAATTCTTCATATGGGTATTGCGATCTCACTTGGACTGCCAATGTTTTCCAAGAGATTGTCCTCTTCACAAATGGAACTAATCTTCATCAAGTAACTTATTCTAAAACTATTAGCCTTGAAGAGCCAAGTAGAGATCTCTCCTGGTGAATGATTGATAACTACAGATCGATATTTGGGGTGATCTCTGAGAGTGAAAAGCAATGCTCTATTGAATATGGCTATAACCTGTTTTCTTACCCTGTAGATAGCCTATTTTCCAACGATACTTACACATCTGTAGAATTTTCTAAAGTTGTTCCAAACGTACTTAGAGATGCTCAGTCCGACCCTGTCACTGAACTCCATGTGCTAGGAAAAGGAATCACTCAAGAATATGATGGCAAATTAGCGTGTCACTTCACAGCTGGAGATTCTTATAGCCAGGTTGTTGATGCAAATATAGTCTCAGAGAATATAATAAAATGCAGCATTCCTTATGATGTTTATCAATTTGGAGCATCGAGTAAGAGTTATAATTTCATTCTTTTAGCTAACGATATAAGTCTTGGGCATGTTCTCCTATCTGTTAAGCATAAAGATAAAAGCCTGATTGTCCCAAACTCAGAGTTCATATTGATAACAAATTCAGTGATAAGGATTACCACAAGAGCAAAGATTATGTACTTTGACAAAAACAATCAAATTGTACAAATAGAATTACAAGACTCTTCAGATGTCTTGGATCTTTCAAATATATTATCAAAATATAGCCAAGGATTATCTGCTCCTACAAAGAGTTACAGTTGCACATTTACTGATGCTGTAGGAGAAGTTCTGTTTTCATCAACTATAAATACAGATTATGATAGAATAGTCCTATCTAGGGAAGGGTATCCAGATGTGAAGTATTTTACCCTGTATTGTAACTATCCTAACACAGCTTCTTCTGTTATACCCACAAAGATGTACATATCTGAGAAATACTCTTTCCAAACACTTGAATACAATTTTATTAGTAATTCTATTGATATTATTGTTGAAGCACAACCTTTAGTGACCTCTGTCACTTCAACAGGATTTGATACTAATGATGCTGGAGTGGTTACTCTTGCAGGGACTTTTGATACATCTAGGACTTTATACCTTAGGATAACCCATCAAGATTGGCTAAAGCATCAGGTTGTTCCTGTAAATGTCCTTACTTCTACTCAAGCTGATTACAACCTGGTTTTAGATAAATCTCTCTATATTCTTGAAGTTTCATACTACAGTGACCAATTCTGTGATTCTTTACCCTGGGAAAAGTACAAGAAGACGATTGACGATATCAATTTAGGTAAAACCTTATAATTAATCTTATAGAATGAATAGCTTACGAGCTAAATGTAACCTCAACTCCTGTGGTTCAAAGTGACTTCACACTAAATTTAAATGCTGATATAGTAGATAGGTGCTGCATCTACCCTGAGACAACATTATTAACAAAGGTAACTGATGTTGATAACTCGGGGAATATTCTGAATTGAGATATCCCTTCAAATGTGATAAACTCCACTCTCCCAGATCAACTTGTGGAAGTATGTCTCTTCACTGATGGAACTCCAGCACTTGAGGTTCTGAGGTCAGATATACTTGAAATTACTAGTATTGAACCATCTGTTTTATTCAAGAATCTATACACAACTTTAGAGAGTTCTTATGAGACTATCAAGGTGTTTGTCTCACATCTCCCACAATTCACAGCAAAGATGGATTGCAAGTACAATAACATAGTTCTCACATCTCTTGGAACTGGTGATGATGGCTCAGGAAACAAATACGTGCTATGCCCAATCCCTCTGTTTCCTAATTTCGAAGGAAGTCTGGCAGAAGGAAACAAATCAGTCTTGGTTGAATTACAAAATTGAGGAGAGAAAATCTATACTTCTGCTTCATCAAGTGTTCATACAGTGAAGATACTGGATACTCCTGAGATAGATACAAGGTAAATAAAACATAGTTACTAACTTATAGCTCCAAGATGTACTTCCCAAGGTTCATAGAGTACCCTCTAGACTCAGTTATTAGGGATGAAGATAAGCTTGTGATAACAGGAACTAATTTTGATTCTAGCTTTACATATTATTGAGCATTTTTGTATGGATTATCTGCTGTTGATGAAATACAAGCAGAATTCCTAACATCCACCACTATTAGATGAAGACCAATTGATTTTGATCATGAAGCATTTGTTGGACTGCAAGTAAAAGTAGTGTCTGGAGGAATCTCAATATTTGCTTATGGAACTATTGATCTTTTCTTATACGAAATGCCGAAGGTGCAAAAAATATTCCCAACTTATGCTTCTTATGACCAACAAGTAGAAGTGAGTGTCACTATAAGCTCTTTGCCCTATATCCACAATGTTCATTGAAAGTTTGGAACTACTGATGCTGCTTTAGTGACTATTTATAGACAAGGTAAGCAGATTATCTGTAAAGCTCCTGTAATCAGTAGTAGCAATCCAACAGAATCCATTAAAATGCATATATCTGTGGACAATCACTTTTGGTATGAGTCTGAACAAGACTTAATCTTCTTTGCAACACCTACATTCACAGGGGTGGACTCTCTCATAATGCCTTTGTTTGCTAGAAGTCATATAGTTGTACAGGGGACTAACTTCATAGATACAGGAAGTCTCTTAATTTGTCGGTTGAAGATTACTTCTAACGAATATTATGATTTGAAAGTAGAGTATATCTCTTCGACAGAGCTGAGATGTCTTAATCCTCCTCATTACCTAAGTCCTATAACTGGGGTAGAGCTCTCAGTAACTTTCAACATGCTGAACTTCTACCAGGTAGTTAATAATATGGAGTATAAAAATGTACCGAAGGTGTTCACAATCGATAAGATTTATGGTAAAGAGAGCCCTGTCAGCAACACAATCACAGTCACTGGGGAAGGATTTACAGACTCAACACTGGCTTCTGTCGGAGGATTTAAAGATGATATTGTGTTTACCCCTTCAAGTGACACCTCTGGAACTTTTGATCTTCCTGCCTATGTGAACATCTCAGAAATCACTGGCAGTCCTTATACCTATATGTGCTATTTTGATTTAGAAGCTGACATGTCTAGGTACTGAGCAAACTCTTATCAGACTGGAAAGATGGCTTTCTGATTTGTAGCATCTAATTCAATGCTTCCACACCATTACCTAGTCTCTAAAGAAGATTACGGGTGGGTTTGAATAGACAAATTCCCAAGATCAAGGATTGAAGTTGGCATTCCAGGGTTAGATTTTTCATTTAACGGAGTTTCTTATCAATACCTTGAACTACCAGACATAGATACTACAGATCCAAGAGCAGTATTCAAGGATACAGCAAACACTATCTTGGTCAAAGGAGAAGGTTTCTGGGATACTGATGCTCTCAGTTGTAGATTAAGGACTACTGATTCAACAACTACTTTAAGCCTTCTAAATACTAATTACATCAATTCAACAACTATTGGTTGAGAATTTCCTGCAGTCTCAAGCACTTCAGCTACTTACAAGATCGGTGTAACTCTGAATGGTTATGAATTTACAGACGAAGTAGATGAAGCCCAGATATATGTAAATGATCCTTTGACAATAGTCTCTGTATTCCCAATTGTAATGTTCAAAAATGCTATCGATGTAAATATCCTAGTCAGAGCATACCCTCTTAACTCTCTTCAGACCTACTTCTGTGTAATACATGAGTTCTATATTCAAGGAGAGATTTATACAGACTCTGGAGGAGTGACTTTTGTGAACTGTACCATTCCTTCGTATGAAGCCATTGCTAACTCTGCTACAACGCCCATCCCATCAAACGGAGAGGTAAATATAAGGCTTGCCTCAGGAGGAGTTCTATTCACAGCTTCAGGAGTAGTATTCAGGTTTCTAGACCAAGACCAGGTGAATGGAGTAACTCCACTGAATGGGCCTGATACTGGAGGGACTAATATGACAGTGACCTTATCTATCGATCAGACCCAGGGAGATATAGGAAACGTGTACTGATTGTTCTATGGCTCTGTATCTGTGCTAGCTGTAGCAGCTCCTCCATTCGACTATTCTTGAATAACACCAGCATTGAATTATGATCTCTGAAATTCAGGATACGACTGTTCTTCCAGCTTTGGAGTTTCGTAAGTCTCGATTTGCTGAAAGATTTTAATCAATCTGAAATTTTTAAACCAGAATTTCAGGAAGAAACTTAACAAAGATTTTATAGGAAATTCGACTTTTCCATATTTTGAGATTTGAAATAATTCTTACAGTTTAGTTAGTTTTGACTGGTATTAAACTTGTAATCATATCCGTAATGTGAAATATCAATTTTTAATAATCTTTTTCTGTTATAGTCTAAAATCTACTATTTCTTATCATATTTTATATTTCTCAAAAATGCAAATTAATTCATATAATCCAAACTTCCAAAAAGCTTGTTTATTCCTTCTTATAAACATTTTCATCAATTTTTCCTTCCTTATTAAAATAATTTAGTGATACAACAAACAAGAAAATTGTACTCTACAAAGAATATGCTGTTGTTGAAGTCGAGATAAGGATTGCAGATACTACAGACAGCGTATTCCAATTCACATACAACAGAGGGTTAGAAATAGTCACCTTTGATCCTCCATTTGGGTTTTATGATCAAGCCAAAACTCTAACTCTAAGAGGGAATAACTATTTCCCACATATCCAGATCGAGTGAAAGTATACTATAGGAACGGAGATTATTCTTCCAGCGAATTATATGACCAATAAAACAGTTGGGTGAGACATTCCAGCTCTTGATACTAGTTATACCCTCCCTTACTTCTTGGTAAGTTCTTGGCTGACATTTTAGAATGTTGAACTCTCCTTTAACTCTCAAAGAGATTGGACTAGTAATGGAATCAACTATGCTTACTGCAAGAAAAGTATTGTGAATAGCATGATTCCAACTAAAGGCCCTGTCACTGGAAACACAGTAATTCAGATAAACTATGGAACTCTTGGGAAAAGCGATGGCTGTTTAGACATTCTGGATAGAAGCATAAGTAAGCTAGGCCTTATACCTTATAGATCCCACACTCACCTCAGCGTATATTCATTGAAGATTTGAACTATCGACAGATGCTACGAAGTATTTTGAGACAACTATTCAATCCCATGATACTACAAATAAACTGATTTCATGCAATACTCCTAGTGCAAATCTCATCCTTGGAACTTTATTCTCCTCAGGAGGAGATGTCAAAGTCTCTTTAACAGGCACGGATGAAACGTTTGTATTTAGTTACGAACCTGTATCTGAAATATCAGGGTTAAGCCCTAATTTCATTTTTGCAGAAGATAATGTTACCATAGAGATCACTGGAACTAACTTTTTCTTCGAGGATATTGCACTTACCAAGATCATACTGAAAAGTCAGGATATTGAGGTCCAGAGATCTCCTTCAATGATTAATTCTACCCATATGACCGTTGAGTATTATGAGAATGAGTTTGCTCCAAGATCAAGAGTTGAAGTCACAGTAACTTTCAATGGGGAGGAGTACTATAAAGCTCCTGAGTTTATATCTGTATCTGAACGTTTTACTCTAGAAAAGTTATCACAGGAAATAATATCAACAGCAGCAACAACTATTTTGATTGATATTTATGAAGAAGCTGATTCTGAAGGAGGTATTTGGGACACTCAGGAAAATCTCAAATGATCATATAACGGAGGAGCATATATTGAGAAAGCAACTTATATATCAAGTTTTCTAGTCCAATGAGACCTTCCATCTGCTTCCTTCACAACTTTAGACGTTAGTCTGATTATAGATGCTACAAATCTGTTTATTTCTACTAATTCGTTGACTATTAAATTTGTCAATGCTCCAACTTTTGGATCTATTTCTGATACAGGAATATTCTTAACTCTCAGTGGAGCAAGGTCGCTACTATACTCACCTTTAAGTCAGAGGACTGCAACTATAACAGGTTCTGGGTTCCAGAACTCCCCGAACAACACAGTGTATGCTTACTTCGAAGGTGGAGAAGTCTTTGAAATTACTGCTAATTCTGATACCGAAATACAACTTCCTTTGCCTATCACAGATCCTGGAGACGTACTTGAAAAGGTGTATATAAGCGTTGACAAGAATTATTTTTCTGCAGTTTCTCTTGTAGATCCGATCCATATAACATCATGCCCTGACGGAAGTTATTGTGAAGGAATCTTAACAACTACTTGCCCAGCAGGGACCTTTTGTCCCAAGAATCAATTAGGAAGGCATCTAGCTTGTGGCCCTGGATATTTACAGACCTCAGCTGGATCCTTAAATTGTGACCAATGAAGTGATGGAACTGACTCAAAGTTCTGCCCTTATAGCTCTGGAAGCCAAGTTTCATGCCCACAAGGATTCATCTGAAATAATAAGACTGACAGAATTGAAGCTGATATGAACATTTGTCCTGAAGGATTAGTCTGAGATTCAACCACAACCACCATTGATATCTCTGCAGGTATTGGTACGGCAGGAGCCCCAGCAGCTTGTCCAAATGGAAGATGGTGAGGCAAAGGAACTTACAGTGGCACTCATATTAGTGGAGACATGAGGACATCACAATTTTGCTTTGATGGAAATATCTGTGGACAAAATGCAGATTGGACTACTTCAACAACACTTACTGGGTCTAAAGACTCTTATGGAAGTTATAAGTGACCTATTTCTCAGTTCTGACAAGACGGAAAGTCTAGCCCATGACCTGATGGAGCATTTTGTCCAACCGAAGGAATTAGTCTGCCTGATTATTGACAAGCAGGATTCTTTTCAACTTTAGGAGCAACTGAGTGATCGAAATGTAAAATTGGTACTTTCTGCCCAAAGATTGGAACCTCTAAACCGATTCAATGATCTCCTGGAAGTGTTTGTCAGTTAGATGCTCAACTTGGAATAACTCAACTTTGACCAGCAGGATCTTACTGTGTCTCAAAAACTGTAACTCAAAGAATTAGTGGCCACTCAATAGATGTTGACTATATTCCTGTTGAATGAGATCCAGGAACATATTGACTTTCAGGTGTATATACTCCTATTGTAAACTCAAGTAACCCTCAGGCAGCTCAAAATTGCATTGAGGGATCATATTGTGAAAAGGGAACATCTTCACCTTCAGGAACTTCATGACCACCAGGCCATTATTGTCCTAAAAATTCTCACGCTCCAACTCCAACAGATCCTGGATACTTTGCTAGTGGGTATGGAAATGTGCAACAGGAGCCTTGACCTCCCGGAACCTTCTCGAATCAAAGTATTGTTTCTGAATGTACTGTTTGTCCAGCAGGTTATGAATGCCCTTCAGAAGCAACCATTGTGCCAACTCTTTGAGGTCAAGGAACATACAAACCTGAGAATTTCAATTTAATCTTTTGTGAATTATGTCCTCAAGGAACATGGTCTAATAAGACTGGACTCACAGCTGAGAGTGAATGCACTCTCTGTGAACCAAAGATTGTCTGCATTGTTGCAGGAATGACTTCTCTCAACCAATCTATTGACTGTCCTGAAGGATATGTCTGCCCTAATTATGGTACAACCAGTTTTACAATGTTCAGTAATCCATGTCCCGAAGGGTACTACTGAGGAACAAGAACCTCGACAATTAGTGATTACCATTATTGTGACCGAGGGTTATACTGACCTAAAGCATCTACAAGTACGGGAAGGACTCAAAATAAGTGCCTTAGTGGGTATTTTTGTCCCTTGGGAACTGCAGCTGAACTGAACTCTCTTGGTACTTTCGAAAATGTATATCAATTGCCGGTTGCAAGAGCCTTAGAGGGAACCTCTAGCTACCCTCCTTGTTCAGAAGATAACTCTTTGCCCTCGGAACTGATTGAACAATATATTGCAGGAGGAACTCAATTAAAATGCCCAGAAGGAACAGGAAGTGGCAGAGGAGCATGGTGTATCGGCCAATGAGTAATTTCCTCAGAAACCATCGTTGATACTTTCAACCCAGTTAATGGATCTTCAACTGTTGATGGAGATCTTAACGTAGCTGGGGAAAATACAGATTATAATGGAAGAATGCTTGGAGGGAACGATGAAAATTCTGGAAGAAATCTTGCAACAGATCCATTATCTATCTCACTCTACGAATATACATTAGGTAAGTTTGTTGTAAACTAAATATAGACCCTCTGCATACTGCAAAAATCTACATGGACTTTAGTGATGTTCCTTCAGGATTTATCTACAATACTCATTATAGGATAACGATTACAGACGAAGATAATACTGAGTTGACTCTTCCAAGATATTTCTCTTCTTCTATATCAGCCTTTGAGAATAGGCAATTAGAAATCAGGGTTCATAATATGAATAGTGAGAAGAAAACCTTCAAGTTTGGAATATACCTCCTTCATGGATTGTTCAAACCTTACAAAGAGTTTTTAAGGAACAAAGTGTCTATCTTCATGTATTACTCTACTAGATCCAATGTGAAGGCAAAGACTACTTTTGGATTTTTGATTTCATCAACATTCTTGAATGATATTACGATTCCCTATAATGCACCGGATGTAACAGCAGATCAGACTTTCTTCCTAGATATGACTGCAAGTATTGGACTTTTACCAACAAGAGGTTATGACAAGGATGTGTATGACTCAACATATTGGCAAAGTAGACAGATTACATCAGCTATTATGAGTTGGGTCCCTTTCTTCTCAAACTGTGAGGGATATGACAGCAAAGTTCTGTTCTATGATATTGTAGAGAGAAACAGTGAATGCCAACTTCCATTCTCAAACCAAACTAAAGTAGTCGATCCAATCCCAATGACTGGGATGAATCCAACTGCTGATGAGTGTAAACTCCAAATTAAATGAAGGTATGATGAAGTAATCGACACAAACGTAGCTACATCAAATAGGTGGTATTCACTCAAAGAATCCCAGACTATATTCTTGATGACTAGAGATCCTATTAATTCGGATTCCTTTTTCTCTAAATCCGGAGATTCTGATGACACTGGCTTTGTCTCTAAAATTGCAGATGGATCAGATGCATTAATTGAAGCTGAAATTTTCCCAATGGTGCAACAAGGAATGCCAACAAATGTGACTCTAAAGATCTTATATTATCAGCGAACTTCTGAGGCAAAGAGAATAGTCAAAGTTAGCATTATCTTGTCAGACTATGAAGAGATCTCAGAACAAGAAGATGCACAATACACTCTAAATATTGAATACAGGGCTATGAATTTCTTTGAGTTGATCAATAATTTCCAATTCTCGATCTATATCTACATCCTGCTGTTCACAATCATCTCAATGTTCTTGTTTGTATCGGTCTTGTTCGTTTGGTTTATCCATTATTTGATAATGAGCAGGAAGAAACCCCCAGTGATAAAGTTTATGCATATGGCAAGAGTAACATTCGGACCCCCAACAATAGGCTCCCTCCTTGCAAGTATTCCTATTTTCTGTGCTGCAGGTCTTCTCAAATTTACACAAAACTTAGAAGTTCTGGACGGCATTCCTGCAGAATGGTCAAATCAGGGAAGCGAAATTGATGATTCTGAGAAAACACTTGACAAAAGAGGTCGACTCGGAGTCCAGTTCATTATTATCGGATTCGTGTGCTTATTCTATGGAGCCTCAGTAATGATCAGTAAGCCTTCGACTGAAGAAGAGAAAATTATTATCGAAAATAATAAAAAGCAGAGAATTGATGAAAGACTAGACGACTCTCTCAGCGGCTCTCAATCTACAATGTATGATGAAAAGAAACTAGCTGAAGAAGATGACAGAGAGGAAGATGTCAAAGTCAGATCAGCCCTTACTTGGAAAAGACGACATTTCTTAGTCATGTGTATGATAATCACTATTGGGCTGTTAGTTAAGCTCCAGTTTTCCTACACAAAAATGTTCTCTGACAATATCTACACTTTTCTGATCTTATTCATGATTATGGATATTATCCTAGAGCAACTTCTAAACAGAGTGATTATGTCTGAGTCTTTGCTAGTGTCACCAATTTTAGGAGCCTTTGTTATCACAGAGTTTATTATGACAATGGGTGCTGATGATTTCCAGAACTTTATCATTTCTTACTTCATTGAAACTGCACTAGTTGTAGGAGGAAGAATTTACATAGGCCCAGCTGTTGAAAGAATAGAGTATTATACCCAGAAATTAGCGATTTGGCTTTCATTAAAATTTAGTTTTGCAGAAAGAATTTTCAGAAGGATTTTGAGAAGACAGCTTTTAATCCAGACACAATTGCAGAATTTATCTGAATTCCATCATTTCAACAGAAATAGACAGAAAGAAACCGGTGAAGGAATGGAAGCCTTATTAGGATCAGTTGCATCATATGCTTCACAAGTGCAAGCACTTTTCATTACTCCAATTGTACTTATATTCATCATTTTCTTTGCTCAGGAGACCAAAATTCCTCAGAGTTATTCTATCAGAAAGACAGATTTAAACTATTATCTGATATTCACTATTATTCTGATTATTCCTCAACTGGTCATCAACATTTTCTTGCTACATATTCTTGAGATATTACATGGCTTTAAGATCTATGATTACTTAACATATTGTGACTATAAGTTTAAGAACAGATCTAAGAAATGGATCAACCAGCAAGCATTGGATAAATCAATCCTGCATTCGTTTAGGTCATTGGACAATATGTCGTTCTCATCTCAGTTCTACTTCATTATCACCTTAGTGACATGGGGAATTGTAATCCTAGATTTGGGATTGATCACAATGATTGAGAATAAGTACAACCCATTTGGAGATCCTGTGCTGATCACTTATATAATCGCAATTGTACTCGGCACATTCATACTAAAGCTAGTGCTTAATACGATAGCTGGTTACTTCAGCCTCTGGAAGCAAAACCCTGCAAACGACCACCTCAAGTTGGATGTCAGAGCTATTACTATTCTTGATAAGGAGCATGACATGAGAAGACTGCTGAATCTGATTTATCACAACCAAGGTTTTAGGCACAAGTTCATCAGAGTCAACAGAGCTTGGGTAATTGAGAATCTGGCCAAGGTTCTTAATAGAGAATACGTCATGAATGATGACGACCAGTTCTTGCTCAATGTGTACCAAGAAGCAGTCAATGCTGACCATGTTGAAGAGAAGTTAAAGAAGGAGCAAGAGAAAATACAGAAAGATCTAGCCTTAATGCCTTATAATAAGAAGAATGAGGAGTTAGTTGATGTGTCTGATGATACTATCGGAGATATACCTAATCATAATTGGGTTGTACCAGATTCTATTGATACTGTTCCGAAGATCAAGAAGTTGTCTCACACATGGCTTAAGTTTGCCAGGCAGTTTATGAAACTCAAAGAAATGATTGTCGACATTGTTGTAGATAAATTAGACTCAAAATGAGCTAGATGTAAATCAACCTTCAGACTCCAGGTAATTCAAGAGTATTCGTTCTATAAAGTAGCTGAAGAATACAGGTAAGCTTTACTTCTTGGCCATGCTGACAATTTTCAATAGAAAGAAAATGAAAAATGTCGGACTTACCAGGAAAGGATTCAGAAGATTCTATAATCATTACCAGAAGTTCAGCACCTTATGCATGGAATGTGCTTGGTTGAGACTTAATGATAGGCAGTTGCTAGCACATGCTTCACCGATTTAAGATATAGCAAATAGAAAATAAACAGATTTATGGAAATGAATAAATTTCAATTGGCTACATCTTGTTCGGGGTTTTGGGGTTTTGGGGTTTTGGGGTTTTGGGG